CAATAAATACTTTGTTTTACAAACACACTTAAATAAATCTGCTGTTGTCTGCATTACTATGTTACATCACTAAGTGGCAAACACAGGGGCCTTCAAGAGTAAGAGAGCTTCTTGGAAGTAAGGGAGCTTATCAGGAGTGGGGTCCGTCCCCCCCTTCAAGGGCAAGAAGCTTTGAAATTCAGTGAAAATTACTTGCAGCTGTTTTCAGCAGGACTCTGCAGGATTAGGCTACATAAGTCTACACTTCTGGCCCTTCCGTGGCTGAAACAGCAAAGGTCTTACCTGTACATAACTCACATGCCTGATAAATTGTTCCTGTTCTTTGCTCCAAACGTTTGTGTACATACATATACAAAGGGACAACGAACATGCCTTCTGCCTTGTGTGGGAATGGGTGGAAGGAAAAGGCTGAATGAGAAAGGCTAGGGGGATTGAAGAAGAGAGAACTCAGTGAGAGAGGAGGAAAAGATAGAAAGGCATTTTTGCCAAATGGGCTGGCTATGTTTTATTACAGTCTGGCCATCCCACAGATATACATCATTAGCTGCCCTTCCAGCTTTTAAAAGGAAAAAGTTCAATAAGTATAGTAAAAGCTGAGCTACAAGGCAATGCATGCAGTCTCCATTCTGCCCAGTTGTTTTGCAAATGAGTCAAGTTGCAGCTGTAACTGAAATCGCATTTCGCGCTCGAGAGATTTAAGGATGGAAACTGTGCCACCCATCTCCACACTGCCTGCCCACATTGTGTATGCATCCACATTAACTGGCTTTGATATCAAAGGGTCAAGGTGATAGCTTTTGGCTACAAATGCTGACACGTGGTAAGGGAAGACAGTAAGAGGTTTCTTCTCTTTCTTAGAGGGGTGGCAGCTTTTTACCAACTTAAACAAGATTTTGCATCTTCGTTTGGTGGGAGTGGAAAAGGGGAGGTTCGTGTGAGTATGTGTGAAAGAGAGGGGTGGGTGGGAAAGTTCACCTTGAGAATCACTTTGTCTTCTAGGCTGCCATCCACCCTCTCTTCACTTAAAGAGGAAGCAAGTTCCATTGAACTCAATGGCATCTATTTCCAAATAAGACATGAATAGGATTGCACTCCTGTTTGATTTCATACACTTAAAATACCTCTGTTTCAAAAGAGGAAATCCTTTGCACATGTTCCGAGACCATTAGTCCTTAGATCCATTTCTGAAAACAGAAGCCAGCTTATTTCTCAAATGAAAATACTCTGGAGAAGCATTATTTCATTCTGTAGTCCTGCTACTACAGAACTGTATATGGCATAATTGCTAATAATAATGGTTAACATTTTAAAAGCATTTTTAGCATAAAAATAATTTACCAACATTAGCACAGTAATCTTTACTACAGCCCTAATGTATGCTTGCCAGTGTTTCTCCCTCTTTCTATGTCCCTCTTTGGGTCCCTCTTTGGAAATGTTGCCATGGTCTGAAGGAGAAACTCAAATGATACGGAACGTCTTTTTGAATTGTCTGTAGCTCCTTCCAATATTTAAGATGCAAGAGTCCTGCAAAAGGAAAAGGTGGCAACAAAAAAGGGATACTAGGCAAGCCTTAAATCTCCGAATTCTGCTTGTATACCCCTGCATTACACTTACCAGAAAATTAGTTGGATAGGAGTGTTGATCACTGTTTGGTTGTAACCTGGATTTGGGGAACCGGAATATGGCAATCCTTCCGGGGAGTGGAAGAGAAGTTCCCTCTTGTTGGAAGATAGATACAGGACGGATACATTATGTAATATTATATTGAAGCTGCTCTCCCGTCAGTCATCTATTTTAGCCATTCACAACTGCCTTGGCACATTGAAGAGGGCCACAGGCTGGAAACAATTCTTTATATACCACCTTATAAGGTCCGTCAAGTGACTAATACAATCCTGATTTGGCCTGCATTTCTTTCATATTGTGCTTATAGCCATGACAAAAAAAAGGTTGAGATTGGCTGATCTATATCTGCTGACCTTCTGTTGCACCATTGGGTGTCGGTCTTTATCAGGACTCAAAGAATGTAAGCTCAGGGGGTTCTAGTTGTTTGAAAAACCTCCAATTAGCACAGAAAAGAGGAGAAACAGCACTGGAGTGGAGATAAATTGGTGGAGCCTAAGAAAGAGGAAAATAGTTTGTGGGCTGAGGAGATAAATTTCACTGGTTGGGACAAGGTAGCCGGAAAACCTGAAGACTAAATACAAGATGGGTTGACTGTATCAAGACAGTTACAGGCTTGAGTTGACAAGAGCTGAGGTGGGCTGCTGAGGACAGGACATTCTGGATATTTTTCATTCACCATTTCTCATTCACCATAAGTCAGGGGCAACTTGATGGCACATAACAACAAAGGGTTAATTATTTCGTAATGTCGTAACTTGCTATGTTTTAATTTGTACTTGTTTTGAACTATTTGTGAGCCATCTTGGTTCCCTGTATTGGGAGAAAGGTGACGCAAACATAAAACTTACAAGCAAACAAGTCAATAATACATTTCTAACCCAGTTGAAGCTGGTGCCATCTGTTCATTACCAATACTTTCATAATACTAACAATTTTCCCTTCCATCTTTGTCTCTGGTATGGTGTTCCGTGTATTAACATTTTACTCATCATCCCTCAGCAGGAATATTCTTGAACACATGAGACGCAGTTACCCTTTACATAAGTAAATATATTAAGTCTACTTAATGACTGTACAATTTCTTTTGAAAAGTGTTAGCTCTTACTCGGGTACAAGGACGCCAGGTGGAGTCGGAGAGCTTTCTTTACATCGTTAGAGCCAGGAGCCCAGTGCCCCCAAGTCCTTCTAGCCATTCTGCCATCCAGAGCTCAGAGGAGCAGGAATTACAAATGATAAGTCACTCTCCACACACACACCCCATGAAGGGATGGCTAAGCTATATTTCCAAAGTAATGCAATGAATAGGAATTCTGACACAACTAGGAGTAATAGCAGGCAATGTTTTCATCACTTTTTGAAGTGACTTAAAGAGCATTTAAAAGGCATTTTAGAAGCATTTTGAGGAGAAATGCTGAAGTTTTGTTTTCATTTTATCAAAGTTTAGTTTAAAGAAAAGAACTGTGGTTTTAAGCTATATGTACCTCACAAAGCAAAGAAATTCAGATCATTGACCAATGGCTCCTTCATCTGCCCAACATAGTCACATGGATGCACACTTTTTGTACCTTAAGTTCCATCCCAGGTAAACACTATAGCAAATCCCACCAGCCACCCTACCTCACACATCAATAGTGTGGAAAAAGTAAAATGAAAACTGTCCACACTGGGAAATCTGGTGTGGTCTGGTCCACTCTTAAAAGGTTCTTCTCTTACGTGTGATCTATTTTAACTCTCACTTGAGTGGTCCTTTCTTCCACACTGGTGATGGTACTCAGGTCCACACAGAGAAATGTTTACCCAATTGACCTGCAAGTAAGTTTACCTGGTTTACTCATGAGTAAGGAAGCAACAGCAGCCGAGAACAGCTACATGCAAGGGGAAACAGCTGGGGAGATGGAAGGGAGGTACCTCAATGGAGCCCATTGAGTCAAAACACCCTCATTCCCAGCCTTTTGTTTCAGATCTCATCCAGGGGCTGGGGTGATTTTCCTTTCTTTGGTTGTTAAATAAAATAAGTGGCATATTGAAATGGCAAGACATCAACCTAGCTTGGTATTAGAATTTTGCTGCATTGATTAGGAAATATTAATGTGAAAAAGAAAACAAAAATGGAGGTTTCTCTGCCCTCCCTTTAACTATCACAACCCACTTAACACATCACAGGGTTGTCTCCTCGGTTAATACTGCCCAGAGTTCCATTTGGGTGCAAGCTAACAGTCTGCATAGTTTTCATACTGAAAAGAATGCATGCCCTACCACTGTGCCAGAAAGGTGTGTGACAGCTCTTAAAGGGGCAGGATGATTTGATCTAAGTAGAAACATGTAGGGATGCTCCCATTTGGTTCAAACCAAACTGTACCAACAGTGATCCATATACTGCCCTATATGCCAGTGTGGACTATTATAGACAGTAATGCATTAGTTCTTCATTAGCTCTGTAGTTGGGTGAAGAAAGTCTCATTGTGTCTGATGTGAGTAATTCTAGGAAAGCTGAAGCCTTTTGTTTTCAGAGAATTAAAGAATAGATTTTACCTCTTGTGTTTGCTAGGGGTGGAAAAAAGTATTTTTTTATACACATCTAAAGTTCGACACTGGAATGGACTGCCTGGGAGCCTGGCCGATTCTCCTCCACTGCAGGCTTTCCAAGCAGGCGCCAGATGACCACCTGTCAGGGACGCTTTACCAGCAGATTTCCAGCCTGCATGACTTTTGGGGACCCTTTCAGTTCTAGAACTCCAAAAGTCTCCCACAGAGCGCTGATGCAAGACATGCTTTTTCGCTTCCAGCCCGTGCAATCGCCCAGGAGTTTTTAATGTCTGTTTATTTACCCATACTTTTAAATCTTAGACAGCGCTTAGAAACAAATCTGCCGAAGATCCCGTACTCTTGTCATCACTAGATGCCCTCCAGCTGCGTGCTCGCCTTTTAAAAAGTGGAATAGTCGTATACTTTATTACGGTCAAAGACCAGTAAAACCAAATCAATATAAAATTGATATACATATAATTACTGTTTCGTAAAGTCGTTTACACAGTCGGAAGCTCTGCCAGAAGAACCCCAAACCGATCACCCTCGCTTTTGACAAGGATGGAGTAGATATAAAGAATGCCTGCTTCCTTCTGAGTAGGTATGACAAAAATAATCCATCGAGGAGAAAGGCCGGATCCGCCGTGCTTTATTTATTTACACATATTATTAGTTCTCCCCCCCCCGCCCCGCCTTCCGTCTTTGTTGCCCCCGTGGAGGAGCCTATGGGAGCTGCAATCGGGATCCGGAAGTAGCGCTCGAGACCTATGAAGACTGTACCCTATGCTCTCTCTCTTTTTCTTTCCTCCCCCTCCCTCCCTCCTCCCCTCCCTCATTCCCGTTGCTTCCGGTCCCGGCTTCAGTGCGCAGGCGTGGCGTGGTGGGGCAGGGGCAGGCAGGGGCGTGCAGGGCTTCTGGTTGCTGAAGCCGAGGCTGCTTGTTCTTCTTGGCCGCGCTCTTCCATGGCTGCGGAGCCGATGCCGGCCGAGCCACTCACCCGGCGGCCCCTCCTGCTCGGCCAGGTGGAAGGCGCGCAGGACGCGGTGACCATGGCGGCCATCGTGCCCAAAGAAGAGGGGATCATCAGCGTCTCGGAGGACAGGTGAGGAGGAGCGGCAGGCAAGGCAAGGCAGGCAAGGCAAGGCAGGGCGTTGCGGTCGCCTAGCCATCCGAGGGGGTTGGACCTGGAGGAGGAGGAGGAAGGGGGGGCTCTTGCAGCGGAACAAAGCCAGCCCGTGGGGGGGGGGGGATCGATCCCCCAGGGACCGGGTCTTTGTGCTTCGACCAGAGCCGGGGCAGGGAAGAGGGAAGGAGGTGCGGGCTATTTGAGAAAGCCAAAGGTGAATTTTTTAAAGGGAAACGGGATCGGAGGAGGAGTTCCTCTTGTGTTGGGTTGCGAGGTCCCGATGGGGCTGACCTCCTCGTGGACCCGAAAGCTTTGGGGAAAGTTGCAAGGCTTCTCTGCTTCCCCCAGCGATGCAGCAAAGCAGCATCGAGCCCAAGGGGAAAAAAGGGGGGGATTTATTCTCTCGGCTCCTTGCCCGTCTCGGTATCTGGATCTGGTCGCTGTAGGAAGGCTCCCCACACACTGCAGCCAAAGGAGGCTGGGGCTGATTCCGATCGATCGGTGACGCGCAATCATCCTGTCCCCGCTTTCCCAGGTATTTGTTGGCCTTTGGGGGGGGGGTTGCACGTTTGCATTGCTGCAGCGTCCGTAGAAGCCACAACAGCCAAACTGCTTCGACCCAACTCTTTCCGCAGCGGCCCTGAAAAAGCGCAGCCAAAATGTTTTCTGCCCTGGGTCGGGAATCCCTGGTAAAGCCTCATCCTGTGTTCTCAATTATACCCCTTCCCAAAATGTCCAAAACTCTTCTTTCCTATTGATAATACCCAGTTCCTTTTATCCTTGGATTCTCTGCAAGATATTGGCCTGTTGTGTTTGCTCCCTGCCTTTTCTGTTCTGTGCCTCCACTATCCCTTCTTTTCTCAAAACACCGCTTTTTAACTTCCTCAGTGACCAGATAAAATACCATGTAGGGTTGGATGAAATGTCATGCAGGAATGAATTTGGAGCTGGTTACTTGACATCATGGCATCTTACAGAAGGTGTAATGTGGTTTCTGTGCTGTTTGGGGCTTCTTCATAGTCTGTTTCCTCATTAATTTTTTCCCCTTCAGTTCCGTAGCCCTTCTGTTTATCCAGGTTTCCTCTTTCTCAGTTAGTTGCTCACACTGCATATTTCTATCCTGGACTTGCCAACCCCTTCTTGGGAACTCCTCTTAGTCTTCAGGATGCTCTGCAAAATAGACTACACACACACACTAAGGAGCTATGTGAGGTTTTAAACACACATGCACGCACACACTCAGGAGCTATGTGAGGTTTTAACCACAATCAACACGGACAACTTTTGCCTCCTTCACAAAAGCTAGCCTGAGATCAGGCTTGCTGACAGAATTGGTTCACTCCTCAATTGATGTATTCATGAATGTTGGAGGCTTCTCCCTCAAAAATGCAGTATGTTCTGAACTTTGGGTTCTTATATGTCATTCAACTTGAAGCCCCAGAATCCCTTATCATTGTTTAAGATAGCTGGAGATTATTGGAGCTGTAGTTCTGCCTCCTTTTCTATTAGTGTTCTCCTGTTCCATTACTGTCATCCATTTATCTCTTACATTTTTGTAGTGCAGCAGCTGAGTCCACTCGCCACTGTGCCTTGTGTCTTTTGGATGGGGTGCCTGATTTAAGGCAGCTGCTATATACAGCATGTTGTGTCCTGCTGCTCTTTTTTGTTGTATTCATCATGTCTGTTCAAAGTCTTCTCTTCATGTGGTTATGTAATAGCAAGATGCCACATCTGAATGTTTACTGCTTGTACACCTGAGAAATCAAGTCTGAATTTGTAACTGGGTGTGTGTATTCAGTGACTAAGAATTTGGGCTGGGTGACTCTTTACTAGGCAAGAGTCACGTGCTTCTGAAACATCTTATGGGGAAAAAATTCTTGCTAGGCTAATTAGAACATACCTGTTGATTCCCAGAACTATATGCAAGATCAAAACTGTGGAAAGGTGCTGTTGGAAGTTTGCTGCCTGTTTTGACATGAGCTTCTTTGTATTTGGTGTAATGTTTTTAAAAGTTAATCAAGAAGCTGACTGTCAGTTTGATCACACATCACAACAAGCCATGGCATAGTTTGTTGAAATTGCAATGTACAAACTCACCTTCAGTAACAAGTTGTGGTTTGTTAACCAGCCACAATCCAAATTGATTCTTGTTGGCTTAAGAAGTCTAATTGTTTAAATCATGGTTTGTTGTGACATCTGAACTATGACTTGTCTCTGGATTGTTTCTCCAGCTGTCTAGTCTGAAATAGGAGCCAACAAAAGGGGGAGAAACAAACTACAGTTTCTTTAGTCTTCCTGTGCATAAGGAACAAACCAACACTTTTGTTTCACATAAACCATTTGTGACATGCAAATACACCCTTCATGAGTGAAACCCCACTTAGTGTGAAGTGTTCCATCTTTTGCAAATGGGAGGGAAAAGTCTTGAATTTAGGTGTGATGTGCATAGACTCATTTGTCTCTTTCAAATTAGCTTGGTATGCTATAGTGAACTGCAGTGGTGATTCACATGTTTCACAAGTATATCCCAGGTCAGTATGGTGGTGCTTCATGTTGATGTTTCATTGTACATCTCACAACCTGTATGAGTTCTGCTAACATAAATAGTTTTACTGGGAGAGAACCAAGTAGCAGCATAACACCAGCAACATCCTTGGGTATGTGAGAAACTGGTAGACTTAAGGCCGAGGCTTTTCCGTGTGCACTCCCCTAGGCCCTTCCATGCTTGTGCAGCAGCTTGGTCATCCTGACTTTTGAAGAACTGAAACAGCATAATTGCAGTTTCTTTCAGTCTGATTTTACCCTGTCCAAGACTTCTTCTGCAACTCTCTAAATTAGCTTAATCTTATACCCCATTTAGTCAAAACGTTCAGCCAAAATCTGCTTGGCTGTAATGTCTCTTGTTTGTAATCATGTCCCCGTTGTAGCTGGAAAGACCAGACTTGCCTGTCAGCTTCTTCCCTTGTTGAGGATCTTAAGTAGAGGATAGATTTGAACTCCGCTGTGTGCTGCTGCAAGCCAAAATAAAGCATGTTACATTTTTTGTTTTCAGTAGTAATCTTTGCTGTAGTATTGTCTCTAGAGCTGAGTGGAGCTGATCTATAGTTGTAACTAGAATTTAAAAGCAGGTGTAGGATACATATAATATCTGGAATAGAAATAAGTTTTTAAGCTTGGAAATAATGCATTTCCCCCGCAGTAACAGAATAACCATGAGAAATGGAGAAATTTGGTGCTGTTAGGTGAGATGTTCAACTTCACAGATAATGAGTATTGAAATCAGTTTTAAGCATCAGAAGCTCAACATTTAGAGCAACTTGTGGTCCTGTTCCAGATATGGGACTATCCCCCATCAGCTCTAGCTGGCATAACAAGTGATGGGGAGAATGGGAGTTGTAGTGCCACAAGAACTGGAGGGCTGCTGGTTGCCCACCCAACTCTTGTCTTAGGAACTGAGAGTCTTTGAGAATAGGTTGCTGTTCTATTGTTGGATGCTAGTATTTGAATCTTTCCATGCACATGCGTTCCAACCTCTGTCTTTTCCCATTCCTCTGTCATACTTCATTTTTTTCGTATCTCCCCTCTCCTGTGAAGCTACCACAATATCTCCCTTGCCCTTGCCTCCACCTTGATTATCTTGAACCTCTGGAGTGATGGGATTTCCATAGAGGGTGTGGAGCTATTATAGGTTGCCTCACCTAGAAGGAATGCAACTTCAGTTGTAGCAAGAAAATAACATGGACTGTACTATCCTTGTCAGTCACTTTTTGGGATACTTAAACCTGGGCAGCCAACAGATTTCCTTGTGGTAACAATGTCACTAGGCTGTTGGGGGGAAATTTGGGGGGGGGCTGGGATGTGAGATTCACCCCCTACACTTTCTCCCTGCTTTGTCTGAGTAAAGTTGGAGCATGACTAATTATCTCCCATACTTGGCTTTTGGTACCCACAGTTCAAAACATGGCTGACTGGCAATGAACCATGTTTTGCTGAGCCTCTGTTGCAGCGGAGAAACTCTGGTTTGTCTTTATTTGGGCAACCTGAAATGAAATTACTGCCATCTCCCTTTTCCCCAGGAGCTGATCCCCATGTTGTGTTTGGCTTTTTAAATTTTTTGTTCTGTTTTGTTTCTCCACTTTGGGACTCTTGTGTGAATAATGTAATGGGAAACAGAAATTCTCATTTTTGTCCCATCAGCCTTGGGTATGCCAGAATACATTGTAGAGTTCTGAGACATCAGAACTTATGTTCTGTGATCTGCCAGATTCCAAGATCCAGGTATTTCCCCCTTCCCTCCCCAAAAGGGTACATACTTTCATTTGTTGTAGCTGACCTCTTGGCGTCAGACCCATTACTGGTGACAGTCACACACTTTTGTGTTATTTTTCCTGAAAGAGTTGTGCTTCTTCCATGGGTGGCAACAATACCCAAAGCTGCTCTGAGCTATCCTTCTGAAACCACAGTATATGACAACTGATCCGGCAGCATAAGAAGAGGAGATGCAGTCATTTTTCTTTAGTGTTACAGCCTGTCTTGTCTTCTGTATTACGTGTTAATAGATATAGGCCTGATTCGGGAGAAGGGGGAGAGGATAACAATCAAGAAAATCTTCAGATGACTTGAGTTAGGTCATGTGATCATGTCCTTCTGTGGCTCCACCTGCTAGCAAACAAGTGGAAATGACAGCATTGTGTATTCCTTGGGCAGGTCCAATGTCATTCACAGATAATTTAGTCTGAAGGAACAAGAGCCTTCTTACCCTAGGGGCTGAAATGCTGGATGCAAGGATGGAGAGTGCAGTGTCCTTTAATATCAGGTGTTCACTCTTTGCATCATAAATACAGTTTTTGCTTCTATAGTATAGAGTAAGCTTGTGCAGTCTCCACTGTTTTGCACTTCTACAGAATGAAAAATCCTGTGTCCTTAGCTGGAATACTAAATACTGTAGACTGCTTCCTCAGTGCCATGGAACAGCA